CCAGAAGTTCTACAGAAGAGTCACATGGATGTGAGTCCCACCTAATTTAAATATTATTAAAAAAAAGTTGACCCCATATGTTTGTGTCTTCCCTGTATTTTTTCGTTTCTATACTGTAGCAGTGTTCTAGTTTTTAGACTTAATTATCTTGTGACTGTGTGTGTAATTTAGGGTGTGTTTGATGGATATTATTTTGGGAGAATGTATTTTAGAATAGTAGATTGATGGAGAATGTGTGATCGAAAAAGAAGGAAAACTTATTGATATAATGGAAAATATTATTTTATTAAAAAATGTGTGGTTGAAAATGAGTAGAAGAATGAGAATGAAAATTTTAATGTGTGTCAAACAGGGGCTTAGTGTTGTCCTCTATGTTGATTAGAAAACATTACAAAGAGAGAAATACACTCCTTACCTCTGCAGAGTAAACAATACGAGCTATCGACACCAACTATTAAAATCATACAAGCCACTTTGCTTAAGAGTTTCATGAATTTTTACAAAATGCCTTCAATTTTCCTCCTAGATTGCATGCTTATTGAGCAACTTGTAAAATGTTTCCCTTTACTTGCTTACATATAGAACATGACAACATAAATTAGCATGATGCTCACAATGAACATTACGAATATCGAGCTTGAGGTTGGTCTTGGAGTTCTTCCAGCATTTTTGTCTATCTATCGTATTGTTGATGCTTGCAATGAGAAATGTTCCTAAAGTCCTTCAACATTAAGGTTAGAAAGAAATGTAGAGTATGCATGTTATATGTAAATTAAAATCGACTTTCAATTTTTGTCTTGTACTGTAGTTATTTTTATATAGCATCTAAGTGTGGTCTTTAAAGTTTAAAGTAAGAAAGTTATTAGTCACGTAATTTTAGATATATGGTTCCAAGGACAAGATGGAAAGATATTGTCTACTGGATTTTCAGAAAACGAAAATAATAAGAACGGTAATATTCACACCACATTTTTTTTTAATTTTTCATAAATATACCACATTTTAATTACATTAAAGGTCATTAACCTTTATTCATTATCACATTTATATCCTTAACTTTTTTTTTTCATCGTATTCTTATTTTTAACATTTCATTAATCAGAAAAACTTGTTATTAATCATAATTTTAGTCCAAAAATATTATTAAAGTGCTTTAAAATGAGGGCCAAATATTAATCGTATTTTTATAGTATTTTTGTTTTTTCTTACTCAAAAATATGGCAAATGAGTCTTTTTACTCTATTTTAAAAAAGAGATTGGAAATAAATCATAATTAAGAACAATTTGTGTTAATTTGGGAATAAAATGCAATGAAAACAATTTTAAAATATAAATATGATGATAATGTGTAAAGATTATGAATCTTTTATGCAATTAAAATATTGTCTAATTATTATACACTGCCGTATGAATAAATTTAGTCAAATAATAATTGAATAAAATGTTTAAATTTAAATAAATAAAAACGAGTGGTATATAAGTGAGTAATAAATGTGGATCCTTTCAAAATGACTGAATAAAAAGAGACTTTAATATTTATAAAGATTAGACATAGGCTAAAAAGCTACTTGCTACATTTCAATTAGGTTAATCCCAATTATAATTTTTTAAAGAAAAAATTGTTGTATGTAATTCCATTTTTGAAGTTTTAATCTTTTTGTAATTAAGGCCATTGGGCCAGCGCACAATAATCAAACCCAACAAGCATATTCGTCAAGACAGGCCCACGTAATTTCAACGCTTTGGTGGCTTATACAAATACTCTCTCCTCTCCCCCTTCAACAAATTTATCAAATACCACAAAAGAAAGGTCAAAAAGGGACAGCCGTTCGATCTAGGGTTTATCGTCATGCCGAAGAACAAGGGAAAGGGAGGGAAGAACAGGAAGAGGGGGAAGAACGAGGCGGATGACGAGAAACGGGAGCTCGTTTTCAAGGAAGATGGACAGGAATACGCCCAGGTGTTGCGTATGTTGGGGAACGGCAGATGTGAAGCCACGTGCATCGACGGCACTAAGCGTCTCTGCCATATCCGTGGAAAGATGCACAAGAAGGTCTGGATTGCCGCCGGTGATATTATTCTCGTTGGCCTCCGTGATTATCAGGTCTCTATTTCCCCCCCTTTTTTAGTATTTTTACTCGTATTAAGCTATAGATTAGCGATGCAGACGACGTCCACGGTGACCATATTCCAAAACTGCTAATTGAAAGTTCCATAGGGGGGAAAGAGGGAAGCCTCTATTTTTTTCCCCTTCTCATTTTACGATCTTGAATTACAAGACATATTTCCAGCAAAATTGAAGAATTAATAACAAATAAAACCATAATTTAAAACTGATTTATCATCAAATTACCAGCTTAACAGTAATTAACATCTTTGCTAACTTGAATTGGATAGTGTTGCACAGTGTTAATGAAGAAAAACAGCTAAAATCTTTAACATAATTCTGTAGGTCGTGTGAGTACAGCATACTAAACATTCACTGAATGGTTTGATAACTGCCCAACACTCTTGTTTCTGTTGTATGGGGAGAACAAGTACAGAAATAGACTCCATGTCTTCCAGATTTTCCTGTTTCCACTAGCAAAATTGTAGTTAGTTTTTTATTTCAAGTTATTAATAAATTCTCTTTTGTACTTCTGTGCTAATATATATGGAATGGAATATTTAAACTATTTTCATTTCTTTATTCGTTATAATTTTCTCCAAATTCAGATTATTTTTTGTAAATAATCAGAAAATCAGAAAATTTCTTTCTAATTAGCCTCAGAATTGGAATTCAAGGAAATTCAATTCAAATTTGAAAGCAAGATTGTGCAATTCCGAATGCAAGCCCCAATTCATCATGCTGCCAAACATATGACGATGCATATCTTTCTATTTTATGTGGATTATGATTTAGATTTTCTAATGTTAACCTCTTATGGGATGTTAATAGGATGATAAGGCTGATGTAATCCTGAAGTACATGCCTGATGAAGCTCGGTTGTTGAAGGCCTATGGTGAGCTGCCAGAGAACACTAGGCTTAATGAGGGTATTGCTGGTGGACTTGATGAGGAAGATGATGGTGCGGGTGATGATTACATTGAGTTTGAGGATGAGGACATCGATAAAATCTAGAGAGCTCTTGAGAATCAAAACTCCGTATGTAGAAAATCTACATTACCTTAAATTTATATTGCCGTGAGGTGTGGTGGTTTATGTATGACGTTGTATGTTTTACTTAAGTGGATTCAATAACAGGGAAATTTATATTCTCGGTTATTTATAGCTGTGTTTAGTTTTTTAATTGTTTAATTCATGAAAATATCAGAATGTGTTGTATGTATTCATTAAATGTGTGGCTAACGTTTATGTTTGTCTTGTTTTGGTGTTTTTGGCATAAAATATATGAAATGGGAACTGCTATTTGGCTTGTTCTTCCCAGTCCACACACACACACACACACCTCAAAAAAGTGGTTGGGGAGCCTTGTCGAAAGCTATTAATCCAGGCTTGAGACTGTAACCTTCTTTAAGTTTCTTTTTCTTTCTTAATACTCTGCACTACTATTCAATCTTCCATTACCAACATGGCTGTGATTTGAACTTAGGAAAGCATTAAGAAAACCTGTTGGACCTTGCAATGCTACAAAACTAATGAAGGCATACACCTAAGCCTTATAGTTTTCACAGGGATTGGATCGAGTGCGTCGCTCATTGGGACTAGGTTGAATTCTGTATATGCACCTTCTTAAATGTTTTCACTTCATGTGACATCGAAATGTATCTTGACGTTACATTCCTCATAGATAGATGGTTTCTCTTGACCCTTCTAATTGTCAATTGTGGTAGCACTTTGGATTTCTGTATTAGTTAGTTCTCAAGTAAATATCTTTCAGTGCTTCTTTTTTTTTAGTATTTTCTATGGCTATGTTCTCGAGAAAATAAGTGTGAGTCTCACTTTATCTAGATTGGGACTTCCTAGAACATGCCCAACTAGCAACCTCAGAATTACATTTGCTTATTGACTGTTAAGACAAATTTCTGGTACGAAGGTCAATATGTATGTATGCTCTGGTATCAAATAGGAAGAATGGCCTACTGAAATGCTCCTAAAATGCTTTCTTCTGGTTTATCTATGGGCAAAATGAATCCACCAGTTCCATAAGCCCTTTGCTGAAATAGGGCTGGGTCGAGTTGCAGCCAGGTAACTTGAACAGTTATCTCGGTTAGTTCGAGTGATACCCTGGCACATGTGTATCAATGATGCCAATTGAGCTACCGCCCCTCCTAAGAACATTTTTGACAAAAAATTTCACCCCACCCAATAGCTGAAGTTCTTTCCCTCTTTAAATTGAGAGCAAATATCAAAGCCTTCCACTTGCATCCGGTATTGTTTTTGTGACAAGGTGTGTACAAATTCGTGGCGACAATTAGTTGAGTTGTGTAAAAGTTATACAATGCACCTGTTATCGTAGGCTGTATTGTACTAGTTCGTGAGTGTTCAATCTCAAGTTTTGAGTTGCTTGCATATGTAACAGCCAGTTCTGAGATAGGTCGATTTTGACGATCACTTTTGAGTTTCACATCATTTGTGAACGACCTATCTTATAGGCTTTAAGCACGTTGAGCCCACTATCCTTTCAAGCCTATGAGAGTTAGTGAGCCAGTTTCATAGAGAAGTTTCCTTTTGTCTTCTATATATTTACATTTGTTGCATTCAAATCTGTCTTTATTTTGAGATACAATTACTGTTTGATTAGCAAGCTCATGTGATAAACAGGTTTACACAAGAACTACTGCAATGCAAAGTTCTTAACGGTTGAGAAACGAGAATAAAGCGCGAGTATAATCACAAACTCGACCAACTATATATCACGCTCGAATCAATTACAGTGTATTATTCAAAGGAGAAAGGAGTGAATTCTACACCACAGGAAGATATACAGAATACGTAAATAAATTAGATTAGAGGATGGGATGAATATAGAACGAATTTTGCACAGGAACACAAGCATTTATTCAGCAGTTCCAGCAATCTTCTTCTTTATTGCTTCAATGTCTGTTGCCAGTTCTTTTCTACTAGACTGTAAAATCACATTACCTCCGATTAGCAACTCGAAATCTATACAGTAGCGATCACTTCATGAAAGTGCAAATCCTATAGCATTGAACAGAAAAAGAAGTTGAAATTGAAATCTTGTCACTGTAGAGTAACCTTTGAATACTGCTTGTAAAAATATGCAGGACGTGCAAGAAATAAATAAGTACTTCAGACTGATATTTGCAGATCCCGGCCCTCCTCCAAACCGACACCATCCTTTAGGCATGTTATTTGGGAACTTGGTCGGAAATATCGTAATACAAGGAACATGAGTTTGTAGATAGGAATTTGACCAAATAGGACCGTTCATTTCCTTTAAAACCCTTTCATCTTATAAGATGAGGCTTCTCATTGAGTTCAATCAGATTTTTGTTTTTATTAGTAAAAAATTTAAAAATGTCATTGGTGAGTACTGAAGAAAACAAACCTTGAAAAGAAGGTAACGGTACACAAACCACCCGGTGTATCCAAGCCCGATGAGTTCCATAATCTTTGGAAGCTGAAATAAAACATCGATCAATAAATAAGATTTTAGGTTCCTTAATGAGAAACCGAGAAAGAATGGCGAACTTTCATACATAAAATCCATCATTCATAACTAAATACAAAAAGAAAGTTTCGTTTTATCAAAAACCTACCAAAGGGACTGAGTTTATTGCACCAACTACGGTGGAAGCAAGCCAAACCGCAACAATTGCACCACCTCCATAGAGAAGTACGGTCGACTTGTTTTGTACAGCATCCCACTGTAAAAGTACGACAGAAGGATAGTATAGAAAAATTAGACGTAAATATCAGTTAAATCATGGCTCAAACAGCACGAAAAATTGAGCTATGCAGAATTAGGGGACATTGAATAAGTCTTGGATTCTTGGTGAAAATTATATATGACAAAAAGAGAAGTGTAATTACCTTTTCTTTTAGGTCTGTAAATAATTCATTAGCATCAACGGGGGTAGATGTCTCGTCTGATGAAGAGGCTTTGATTTGAAGCAGAGAAGACCTCCTCAACTCTGTTTAAAAATGAAGCCAAGAAACATAGGCACAGAAATGTCAAGTGAATGACCTTGTATAGCAGCCAATACCCGGGAAGTGTCCTTCGAGTGTTGGACATTCAGAAAATGTATAAAGTTAGGACATTTTACGTGGTGGGTTGGGCACTTGTCTTAAGAGTGTTTTTAGAAGAGTCAGTGTCCAATAAGACGCCACCCCACTAGAAGTGTATGTGCTTCATAGGTGAACCTTAAAACAAATGAACCCTATTTTCAGTCTCCATTCTCTCGACTCTTAAATCATATAAACAAGCAATGTTTTTACAAGCATTAGAGATCATGAACCAATAACGTACTCTGAAGCCCTTAAAATTTGTCACCACCACACGAATAAAAGTTTAGACTCTTTAAAATTTGAAATTTGTAGAAAACCAAACTCTACCCCCCTCTTTCTTCAATCTTTCCACCGCTTCTTCCCATTATCTTTTCTACAATTCCGGTTATTGTTCAATTGCGTCCATCATCACCAATTCATCTGAGTTGGTTAAAAACTTTTTACACATTATTCAATGGCAACAAATCTAAAATTACCTGTGCCATACAAGTCTGGGCAACATGAATATGACACTTGGCAATTGCTCAATCTGTTAAATCTCTTGTTATAAAGTACCTCCCAATCCCATCAAAACTTTAGAAATCCCGGGAAGGATAGAAACCACATTCATAGGATGACAATTGTCTGGGTAGGTCGAAGTTCGAACTATTGGAAGAAAATGGAAAAGAGTCGTCGAAGAACTAACATTTATGCCTCTCTCAAGGTATAACAATGAAATATTACCAACAATCTTATTGAGGTACGAAGTCTTACAATGTCAGAACCTATTAAACGAGGCTCCAGAAAAGCCACATTGTATTAAATTCCCAAGATTTTATGAGTTCTATCCGAATTCCTACTATGCTGATAGAAACTTGTAAACAGTTCAAAGCCTTCTCACAATCTTCTTCATTTTCTGAATCCATTTACAACAAACAGAAATTTTTCTCAATTAATTTAGGTTGACTACGTGAATCCTTTTTTGGTTCCTTGGAACCAAATAACTCATTAGAAGGTAGAAATAAAGCCCAGAAAGTTTGTTTTCCTAAAGAGTTCCTGGTTTGGGTTGCCCAATTCTTCGAGCCAATTATGAGATTTAATCGTGTTAATTTCTATCTATTCAAGAAACTACAAATAAAAATAATCTAATCAAGATTTCGACCAAGTACATAAATAATCAAGGTTCATCCAATCAGCATCCCAAAATTTTTACATGGGTTTGGTTACAAATTACCCCAAAAAAAAAAAAGGATGTGAAATATGAACAAGGAAAAAAAATGATAAAACCTGAAAGGTGCTTGAATGAAGTGGAAAAGACCGGTGCAGAGAAACGGGTTGGAAGATAAGGCAAGGCAGAGAATTGGTTGGATTTGGTGGTGCGGAGACGGTGCGTCAAGACGGCGGTCGCCGCCGTGGAAGTGGAAGCTGCCACCGCTGCCATTTAGCAGTAGCTGACCAAAAATAAAAAAAGCCCTTGTACAGGTTTTGGTTCTGACTTGTGTGTCCGTGTTCTCTCTCTATTTCTTGATTGAAAGCTTTCTTTGTTGTAAAGCAAAGATTTTTGTTAACAAATTCTTGTTATCCTCGACATTTTTTCCTTTCTTTCGGACAAGAATCAAATGATTTCATTGGATAACACGTGGAGAGAATGAGTTTTCTCATTGGTTCGTTCTGTAGATAATTCTTCTTATACATTAGGAGTGTCATAATGGTGTCCATAATGGACACATAGCACCCCACCATTGAAGAGTGTATTGGTGTACTTGTAGCTCTTTCCATCCTCAGAAATCCTTAATTTCTCCCTCTCAAAACATTTTCCAATTTATTGTTCAACTGTCATTGATTTTGATAGAAAAATTGCAACAATGTCTATTATTTATAATTTATAGAAAAATGTATAATATCTCCTGAAAATGTCTAGACTATCCTCGGCGTCATTAGTTGTACATCTTCCGTCTAAATTGATTGAAAAGACAATAATACCCCACTGCACCACCGACCCCCCATAAAGTCTACAATCCTGCTATATATGCATTAACTTTGATATCATTGATGACATTCTTCTCAGTTGACAATTTTGTATATATTGATTTTAACAATGCTTTTAACAATGAATGACATTGATTTTAACAACTCAAACAATATCAACAACAATGTCATCTAAGAATGTACATCTAGATTAATTCTAAAGCCTATTATTCATTCTTTAGTCGACGGTTGAGGGACCACTTGTGAAAATGGTCGACGTTGCTCAAAAATCCATCTTCATCTTAAGTCCTTCTATTGCATCGCCAACCACGAGAGATTTGACTTCGCGTCGCATCTTTCGCTCTTGTAAATAGGTATATTTTTTTTGATATTATTAGTGTAGTTACTATGCTTATCTTCATATATTTTACGCTCATTTCCATATATCTTACACGGCACATCCCCATAAATCCTATTATTGTCTCTCTAGTAATATTTAAGGATTCGCCTGCAAAATTGTCGTCGGAACTCAAAAACGCAAATTCGATCCTGATTTCTTCGACTATATTATCGATCACCGAAGATTTGACCTCGTATTGCATATTTCGCTTTCGTCGAATTCTATCAACGATCGAGGTAATTTTTAAATTCATTATCAATGTAATTTCTATAGTTTAACATTTTGTTTTAGTTTACATTTGTTAATACCCATGTATGCACAATACGTTTAAATTAATATTAAAATATATAAACCATTTATCACCAAATCTTAAATAAATTTAGGTTACGCACATTCAAATTTATAAATGTACAAAGTCTTCAAGTAATTCATAACTTTAACTGTAGAAAAATTCATTTTTTTTTTCTTTACAAGTGTATCTTAGAAATTATATAGCTCGATAAGTGGTCGTGAGCCGTGAGGTGTCGTGTAATACTCGAGCTTAGAAATAAGGAAAGTCAGTACGATTTTTTAAACGTGAAATGGTGTCTTTAACATTGTCATAAAGTTCGAGAAGGTGTCTATGATATTTTCTCTAACTTATGTAGACATTTACATAATAAATTAAAATCTTTCACGAGCTTTCGTTGAAGACCTTTATAAAATGAATCATGCTACTTGTACAATCTTTATTTTTACAATATAAGTTTGTAAAATTTAATTAAAAAACAAGCTTTTTATAAATAAATAAATAAATAAATAAGAGGTGCCAATGAAAAACAAGAGGGAGAAAAAAGAAATGAGAATAAAAGAAAATAATAATAATAATAATAACAAGTTGGAGAGATAAATATATTCAATTTTTGTATCATGACTATATAATTTATATATAATGAAAGAGGAAATATATTGAAGAAATATTATAAAAAACACCTTTTTTGGTGAACGTCTTTCATATTAAAACGTTTTTTTTTTTTTTTTGGTGAAAGTTTTTCAGATGAGAGATTGAACGTAAATTATTTTTTACTTTCTGCTTAAAAGTTAATACATGGAGAATTTTACTAATATTATTGGCATTTTGAATATTCCACGAGCTTCAAAGGCTTTTAAAAGTATTTAATTTAACCTCTATGAAAAAATTATTTTTTAATTCCATAAAAATCTTTAAAACTTTAAACTGAATTATAGATGGCAAAATTATCCGTCCCGTACAAAATACGATAAGGACAAAAAATATGGTCCCCATTTCGGATTCTCTCAACCCGCCTCGAATACTTTTTATTTTATTTTAATCACACATTTTCAATTTAAATTGCATATAAAATTTTAAAATTAAAAAAAATGAATAATTATCTAAATGGAGTTTTTTTTTTTAAATCCCCACTCTCGTCTTGTCCCACTTCCCTAAGGGCATGGGGATAGTAATGAGCACTCCCACCCCCAACACATTGTTATCCTTAGATTGAAGACAGAATAAATACCAGAGAAATGCTATTCATCCCCAGTGGGGATGCATCCCCAGTTTATATGGCGTTAATGTGGCATTAAAAGATAGGTAAAATTAAATAAGTTATTTAATTTCACATATCATTTAACCAATCATTTACATTCACATAGACTGGAGATGCATCCCCACTGGGGAATAATAGCATTTTTCTAAATACTAAACTAACAATACACAGAAATAGATAGATAAAAATCTTGTATATTACCATGTTCACAAAACTAGAGAACAATAGTACAATCATATTTTTCGAAAAATTCTAGACACTCCATCCACATTTTAAGGGTTTGTTTGGCACAACTTATTTAAAAATTACTTTTTATCAAACTAATTTTCTATCGCAGTTGTCTCAATAAAATAACATTGCACAACGTGAGCCCAAAATTATTATTATTTTTGAATAATTTATGACACGGAGACTAAGCCTTGTATGTTCACAGTTTCCTAAATCTCATTTTTCAAAAACTCGTTTTAAATCACGCATTTTATAAAGTCTACAACTTTATCAATTTTTCTATTTATTTCATTAAATTTTATTAAAATTTACTAAAATTTTGATATTTAGCTAAATCAAACGGCTCTATAATTAATGTGGACAACTGCACACGAAGAGATTGTACAGACACTCGATCTCTTCTTTATTTTAAAAGTTACCTCTTAGAAAGTAAATTACTATGTATAAAATTGAATTTTCGTTAGGAAAAATTAAAAAATGAGTAACGTCATAATAAATATTTTTGACATATAACTTACATTTTCTTTTGATTTTTTTTTTATTTTTTTTTTCTTGGAAGGTATTTGAAACCAAAATCACGTGCCCGCAGTCACGTGGCACGTGAGATTGTCGGTTATCCACCACGTCAGTCAGACATGTCATTCAGCCCTCCACTTTGACCTGCCACAAAGGAGACAACAGACCGTACACCCTAACTAACCAATAAAATTCAAACACGTTGTGAGATGTGGACAACAGGCCATTAACTTAAAGATTTGGCTCAGGAGCTTGCATATTTGGACCCACCTGCATTGAACCGACATACGTGGGACACGTCAGACTTTCAAATAAGCATTCTTCTGAAATTCCAAAAGGAACCCGAACTTTACGTTTATTTTTATTTAGCCCACGAACTTTTAATTATCTTAAAAATGTCACCGAATCCAATGCAAAACTAACAATTTTTTTCCATACATGGGACCCAACAAAGTTGTCACTTTTGCATCGCCTTCTTAAGCCAATGCTTCCACCAGATTAATAGAAAACAAGTTTCTCTTCTTTCTAAAACCTATCCCGATGTTCAAAATATTCAAGCATGTTCATTTTTATCTCTCGAATTTCCAGTAGTACTAAACAGTGAAATCACCAAACTGCAAATTCGCAATCGCTTTTTCGAAACCGTCGATTGGGATCCACGTGGATCCGTCAATGCTTTGATTTTAAATGGAACCAAATAGCTTCAAAGTGATTTTGGTTTAAGTTTTAATCTTTGTAAATCGTTTCAAACCGTCGAATCATTTATAAAAAATAAAATAAAAATTTGAAAATAAATTAATCGATATTTTATTAAACTCTATTAAAACTAAACGGATCATGTTAAAAATATACATCCATATTAGACATAGCTCAATTAAACTCGATGTCCAATATACAATTATCCATCCAAATTAATTATTCATATCAAACTCAAATACATATTAACCATGACAACTGCAAATGTTAAACATTCAAATTGGGTGAAGTGTTGAACAATTGTTGTTGAACCATATTCATCGACCACCCCACCCATTACAATTGAGTAGAGAATTAAAACATAGATTCTAATTCAAACTTACACATTTCTTTTTCTTATCCTAATAATTTTTTCGAATTTCACCTAAATTTTCAATTCAATTTATCCATTTTTTATTATTCTCTCTCTCTCTCTCTCTCTCTTTAATTGCTTGCTGTATGTTATTGATCGTTGTATTGTTTTTAAATTTTTAGTTGATAACATATTTATTTATTTGCGTTTCAATTTCCTGACTATGTCACTCAATTAATTACTTATATTTTAGCTTAGTTTTTAGACTTTAATATTTGGTGGATTATTTAAATGGTAGTTTTGAATATTTCGATATATTATTTTGGTAAAAAATTAAATACAAATAAATATAAGATTGTCATTCAAATTGCTAAAGATATGTTAGCTATTCAATATCCACAATTGTTTTTAGGTTTGTATTCCCTGTTGGGGGTTGAATTTTTGCGTTATTTCAGGAGTTCGTTAAGAGAAAATAATAATTGAAGTGGTGATTTGTCCTAAAAAATTGGTTGCATAGTAACAAGGAATTCGTAATGATTCTTCAATATTTGAACGAGGTATAAGCATTGGAAGATTCACAAAAAGTTATAGAGATTATCTTATTCAATATTTCTATTCATTTTATTTTATTAGTTGTTTTATATCAATTAACTATAATTAATGAATTCATATTCTATATTTTTATCTTTATGAAGATAATGAATCATGCGTTACAATTGCAAATGTTAAGC